ATGATATACAATTATATTATTTATTAAATTCTTTATTATACTAATATATTGTCATAACTTGTAATATTTACATATATAAAAGGTAAATTAATGCCTTCGCGTTAAACTAAAATGAGTACAAAATATGTACGGTACATTTACGTATTGACTGTAGTACCAACATATTTAGTATCATTGTAGGAGCTTAACCTATTGACTGTCTTAAAAAATTTGGAAAATTTTGTGCAATATTAGTCATTATAATGTCCAGATACAGTAATATTATCAGTGGACGTGTAAAGAATATGCAAAAATGTAGTGTACGTTCTTTTAGTTTTCGAAGTATAATAAAGTTTTTATCCATATATTATCGAGTTAAACCAGAAAGTGCAAAACCTCCCTACAATTTCATCTGTCAAGTTGGTGACCCTGTTTTACGACAGAAAGCGGCACCTATTGATACGAAAATAATACAAACGCAGGAATTTCAAAACGTACGTACGTGTTCATATTTTTAAATAATTGTAGTGTGTAGTTTAAAAACTCAAATATTTTTTGTTTTCTATATGAGAAAGTAATTAATCACATTGATTAACTGTAACTTATTTATTCGTATATTAACGAAAGTAAGCTACTATAGAAAAATACAGAATTAAATATTATATTTTTATTATTTTAGTTATTTAAGTAAATAAAGTTTATTTAAGTAATACGATAAATTTTGTGAAACAAATTTATTTATATTTAATATATAATATAAATATATTTTACCATAAATTAATATGTATGCCTTTATTTACTGATTATAGACAGTTGATCACTTACATAAAATGCTGAGGAAATATGATACAGTAGGATTAGCAGCGCCACAAATTGGCTTACCTTGGCAATTATTTGTTATTGAACTGAGAGAAGATTCTGTAAACGAAGTTCATCCATTCTTCCAAAAAACTTGTAACATCGTACCCTGCCCTTTAACATATTTTATTAATCCAAAATTAGAGATAATTAATCCTGAGGAAGATATAATGTTTGAAACATGCGCAAGTATTAATTGTTATCATGCAGAAGTGGCGAGACCACTAGAAGTTGAAATCAAAGCACTTAATCGATTTGGGGAGCCATTTTGTTGGAGAGAAAAAGGTTGGTTAGCTAGAATTGCTCATCATGAAATGGATCATTTAAAAGTAAGTTCTTTTTTTCTTATTATTTTATTTTATTACATATTGTATAAAATAACATATTATGTATAACTGCGTATAGTATCCGAGTCTACAGACATTTCTAAAGAAGAGATCGTCAAGGAGAAGTATCATAGTGGTTTCTAGTTTTCATAGATCGTAACAACGTTCAGTGGCAATGCGTGCACGCTGTTTTACTGTCATATCATCCATTGCTCACTTGTCTCGAGCCGGCAGTGCCGGCACTGAACGTTTTTATAATCCGTGGAAACTGGAAACCACCATGACACTATTTTTAGTCGATTTATTTTTCAGAAATATCTGCAGAATCAGCTGTTGTATACGGTTGAAACTTTTTAAACTTTCTTTATTCTATAATTCGAAGAGAAAAGTTGAAAATTAATTATTTTTTTAATAATTAAAAATATTTTAAGAGAAACCCTAAATTTGAGATCTAAGTCATTTTTTATTACTTGTAAATAGTATGATTGTTGTCATATCTTAAAATTATACCGATATTGCTTTCAACATTGACAGCAGAATGCATTGTGGTAGAAGTGATTTTTTTTCTTCGACTATTTATTTTTTTTACTTCCTTTTCTAGCTGACGGTATTTGAAATCAATTGTCGTCATCGTTTTTCTTTTTTCTTTTCTTCTCGTTAATTTTAGTTTCTGTTTCGGCATTAATTTATTCGATGACTTGCCCAAGGTCATCTTCATTCTGAATATTTCCTATGTCTTCGCATAGCAAAGTTAACATATATAATTTTTGGATTACATTGATTAATATATTAAAAGACAATATAATTTCATTTCGGAAAAAAAGGGTTGACTTTTACAAGTAACACTTTACCACTATCTGTCTATCTATAAAAAGATTAATTTCTTCAGCTTATGCTCTTCTCAAAACCATACCGTTATTGTCTGAATTCTTTTTTTATCCAAAGGATAATTAATTAGTGTCTCATATTTATTGAGTCAATGGAAAAATTTTATTTTTCATTGATATGTTATTATATTATTATACGATGTACAACGTATAATTCTTTTTATAATTAAGATAAGGAAACGTGATAATTAGTCATTATTAATCAATAAACGTGGAGAAATGTAATACAAGTTACGTAAAATTGTTTATTTTTCAGGGATTATTGTATACTGATAGAATGTTTCCACTAACGTTTGACTATATCGATTGGGAAAAGACATATAACAAGAAGAGGAATGTTGTTATAAATTAATCAGTAGAGTTGTAATGTACTAGATCATTCTAATTAAATATGTGTTTATCTTAAGTTTATTTAGTTGATTTCTTCGAAAAATCCTGTAATGATTTAACAAATCAAATAATTGTATGAGTTTATTATATGAGTTAATATGTACAAATATTGTATGGTTGCTATAAAACATTCGACTAAAATAAGTAAAATTAGAAACAAAGGTAAAATTTATTCGAAGTATAATTTAATAAATATTCGTTAATTTAATGAAAATAATTTAAATTTTAATGGTAGAGTTAAAAACCTTTAAGGTTTACTTTGGAATTTACTATAACAGTTATGTATACCTTGAATGATTAGAATATACAGATATTATTAACTTTGTTGTACTATACATATCTTCAATAGCAATGTATGATCGTTGCTATCTGTAAATTAAAATTATAAAAATCTAAATTCATGAAAAATAAATACTACATTATTTTTTTATTGTGAATACACCTTTAAGTATCTTCTCGTTTATATTAACTTTTTTATTTTCATGTTTACTAAAATAATCTTGAAAGTCATTTAAATTTTCACATATCACGTATTTGCATAACTTTGAATTATTTATGAAGAACTTAATTTGACTAAAATGGTTTAACATTATTTTAAATTATAAACGACAATACTCTATTTCTCTCTAAATGTAACATAAAGAGTATACGAGTAATTGGAAATAAAAATACATTTGAATAATGAGGTATGTATTGTAGTACTGAAAGTGTTGAATAAAAAGGTACTTATGTGTCAGAATATATTATTTCCTTTTTTTGAAAGAATAGAATGAATAATGAATGCTGAGAGATAGTATTATCTACTATACAAATAAATTGTATTTTAAACGAATCGGAAAGTTTATTGATAATTAGTTAATATATTTTAAATATTTGGAAACCATAATTACGACCGTGTATATTTTTTTAATAATATATTTAAAAAAAGAATCTTTTCTCGTGTTAATTTGTTATTATAAATTATACAAATATTTTAGGTATTACATAACGTTTTTGAATATTATTCGTTATAATATTAGCTATTATTAATAATTAATAATTAATGTCGCAGGATAAAATAATGATTTTTTATTATGTAATATGTATGTTATTATTTTTTTTTTATTATTTTGGATTATAAATTTATTTATTGCCTTCTATAATTACTGATTT